CTCTCTAAGGTCCACTAAACCTCAATTTCCCTGAAGAGTAAAGTGGGTTTGAAGGACTCAAGGCTGAAATTTGTGAGTTGATAATACACATCTGAGTGCTGTGGAGCTGCACTTAATGCAGAATAGAGACTGTCCCATTTCAGTKTTAAAATCAGTTCTGAATGTGCCAATTCCAGCTCTGTTGTCTGTGGTGCTGTTTGTGGGGTGGCCATGGGGCAGGGCACTCTGTGTAACCTAAACTGTTCTATCCTGATCAATTAACCTCTGTTCTGACCACAGGAAATSGGGTTTAAGTCATAACATTTCAGCAAGCTCCCTTTAGGTCTTGTAAATTATTGTAAATTATTATAYTTGAGTTTTAATGATGCACTGTCACATCCTAAATCCGGAGGAACGGAGCACAAAGGGGAAGGGAATGGAACTGAAAGTGGAAGAGGGGGTGATAATGTGGAATTAAACTCGTTCTGGTCCTTTCAGAAGGATTAGTCATAAAATAAAGTACTAAATAATGGCAAAGAAAAATACAAGTCTCAGCATAGGTAATATCTGTCCCTTCTCTGTCCATCCCTTCTCTCTTCCCTGAGGAATGAATCAACAAATTGGCCTTTTAAGGATGGAGTTTGTTAACTGTAAGTGCAGTTAAATGCAGTTTTATCCCGTTTCTTGTTTTCCTTTACTCCTGTAATTGTCACTGTGATTGTTATAACAGAGCTGTCAGTGATCACAGATGTCCATCCCCACCACCAAAGGGAAGAGATGAAACCATTCTGTGTGGAAGTTATTTTTCTGTGCTAAAGCTGTGCCCAGGGTGGCCCTTGGTGGCCCTGTCCCTTTGGGGCCAGCTCAGGGCTGCTCTTTGTGTGTGTTTGTGACACTTGGGGCTGGTGGCACCTCCAGCCATCCATAATTCATGAGCACGTTGTGTTCCCAAACGGCRCCGGGGTCGTCTTCATTACATCCTTTAAATTGTTTATACAGGCACAAAAAAAATGGTACATTATGGATGGTGGAAGTACCAGCAAGAGCAAATCCCAGCCTTGTCCAGGGGCTATTCTTGCTCTGCCAGAGCATATGTTGGATGTTAGCCGGGGTGTACACAACGTGTCCTATTTATTCAAGGTTTGCTTTGAAGCCACAACTTACAAGTTTGTTTCTTAGGGGGACATGTCAGRCTGCATTTAGCATTTGTTGGTATTAGGATACTCCTGAATAGCAAAAAGGCAACATTTTGGGGGGGGAGAAGGCGGCTGCTATCTGAGCAGGGATCTGTCAGATCCACTTAGGGGCTCGGGGAGAAGTGGAGAGGAGGCACGGGGAGAGGCTGGGCTGAGCTCAGGAGCTCGGGCAGGATTGTTCTAAAGCACTTTAAATGGAGGAATTAATCTCCATTTGAATTCTATAGAGTTCATTATGATAARAACTGGGAAAAGCATTAAAGCAGGGATCCAGCTGGCCAGAGTGTGTCAGCGTAAAGTGCTCAGCAATTCCAAGTGGCACGCTTCTCTTTWA